ATTTATTTACACTTTTTGTAGATATACAACGGCGGACTTAATGCCTAGTGGCATTTTCTAACAGTCAACCTTAGGGTGGTGCAGAGAGATACAATAGTAGGTGTAAACGTTTAACACTTATTAGAGTGACACAATAATTAACATTAACATTAACATCATATATAATTATACATATCACACAATATATACTAATTAAATATAATGAAGAAGTATTAAAATATATACGTAATGCAAAACGAACAGTAGACAAATAAGTATGGGACATATATATACCTAAATATACGAAGGAAAATACATAACATAACATATATACATACATAATTATACACATACATATATGTAAATACGTACAAGACCTAAGTGTGTGTTGAGTCTGCTAGCCTCTTCTGTAGATACTCACGAACCTTAAATTTGAAGGACAGACGACTGGTCGCCGTCCTGATATCCGTCGGCATCGCATTCCACAGCAAGATGGATTGGACGAAAAAAGAAGAGTGAAGGAAGTCAGTTCGATGTGTGGGACATTGTAACAGAAGATTATTAGAAGAACGGAGGTATTTGCTATGGTTAGCGCTCACATACTGGAAATATGAGGAAAGATAAGTAGGAGAATTGGGAGAATTAAGAAGGGAGAATAAAGTGGTTAGCGCCCGTTGTTCCCTGCGCTGACGTATGGGCAACCACTTTAGTTGCAATCGAAATGCAGAGACATGGTCGTACTTACGCAGGTTGAAGACGAATCGAATGCAGGTATTCAAAAGGCGGTCAAGTTTGTTAAGTAGATCTGCATTCAGGTCGAAAAAACACACATCAGCATAATCAATAATGGGGAAAACCAAGGACTGGACAAGCATTATTTTAGCAGAGGACGGAAGAAAGTTTCTCAAACGATACAGGGCCCGCAGCGTCCCGGTGACCCGTTGGCATATGCTAGGTAATCCTTATCAAAATAAATTACCTTATATTCAAGAAGACGGCTGCAATACCTTTTTATTCAATTCGGACATTTCATTCGGAAGATATCACGAGTTTAAAAATGCAAGTATTAGAAAAAAGTCGCGTGGTTGCCGCTCACCGCACTCAGCTAGCCAGCATGCGATGTAGGCTCCATGTAAGCGTCACTGTGGTACGGTGGGGGGGAGGGACTGAGTCAATGAAATAAAATAACGTGTCGGCTGGTCAACTAGCTCATATACCGAGGATACCGATGATCCCAACTGATCTGCCAATCCCTTTTAAACGACTTCAGTTTCCTGTCAAATCAAATTTCGCGTTAACTATTAACAAGTCCCAAGACCAAACCTTCGAATTATTAGGGATCGATCTACGAAAATCATGTTTCACTCATGGCCAACTGTATGTTGGGCTATCACGTGTCGGAGCTCCTGAAAATCAATTTATTTTGCTGCCACAAAATAAAACTACTTCAAATATCGTTTACAGGGAAGCTCTGACTCACTAAAACTAATGGCTTTTGTTTTTTTGTAGATAATATGATATTTGTAAAAGAAATAAAATTAAAAAAAAACATTAATAAAAAATATGAATAAAAAAATTCATAAAAAAAAATTCTAACTTCCTTTATAATTTTACTTTTTTTTTGAAACCCGACGCAAAAAAGAAGGGTGTATGTGTGTATGTACCCGTGCGAAGCCGGAGCGGGCCGCTAGAATAATATAAAATGCTGAGAAAGACAAACTACAGACCTTATAAAAAGAAAACAATAACGTATCGTTTCTGAAAGACGTATTTATTGCTATGATTATGATGACCGTACTGTAACTTATATACTTTATTAAAGTTAAAATTAAACTTACAAATAATATTGACATAAATCAACAGTGTAACGTTTTTATAACTATAACCTGTAAACGTAAGTATGTTTCAGTTTCATTAAATAATAATAAAACAAAAATAAAGTATCTATTCATTTCGGCGCATCCCAAATGAAATGCCCAATATAAGGCGCAGCGCAGACGACAGACTATCTGTGACGCACTTTTTAGTCTGTGATATTAGAACCTATGCAATTATATATGCACAATAAATCAGTATCTAAAAAACTTCAACGCGCGCTAACGCAGACGCACGCAGTCGGCAATCTGCATTTGCTAGGGGTCGACGTAACGCACGCTATCAATTATCATAGTGCCTGAGGTCGATGTAACGATGTTAATTCAAGAAATAAAATTTGTCTTAAAATAAATAGCAGTTTCTCAAATGTAGCAACAGACATTTTATAAAATTTGCAATATTTTTCCGGATGTTTCAGTATTGAATGTTCAATATGGTCCCCTTCAGTAATCTTTCTGACAGTATAGGATGCACCCAAAATTCTCTATTTCTTCTTTTTCTGTACTTCATGTACAAAATAATACTTCGTGATTTCTGCACGATTTCCATAGCGTCTACGTCCCTACAGCCCTGCCGACAGAACGATCAAAGATGTGCGTCGTAGTCGTGAGTCTGTGAAAAATCCGCGACCTACTTACGTGTACACGACGTCAACGCGAGCACGTCATGCAAACTTTTGTGCGCCGCAGACTCGTTCGCACAAAAAGTGTACCGTCTGCGCTGCACCTTAATCTAATTTTAATTTACGAATGACTATAAAAATCTTTATGAAAATCAGAACATATTGCATTCGATTCGTAGGCGTGGTACACCTCTACGTACCTCAATTAGTTATACAAAACTAGAACTGACAATCAGATTATCCAGATATATCTGGCTTTGTAGGATATATTGATATTCTATAATAAATAGCTAATTAATATAATTATGTATGAACAAAAGTAATAATTTCCATAGTTCAGCCATCGAAGATAAACCAACAAGCTAAACAAGTTATAATATTTGTAGTACTTCAATAACTTTTACTAGCTTTATATTTGTTTATATGTACATGTGCACACAGCACAACAAACTATACCAAACCAGTATAAACTGGCCAATGAATGTGCCGAGAGATCATACAAAGCATAAACTGATTTTGTATAGTTTGAGGTGTAGTGAATACCTCCTTACTAGTAACTGCAGAGCACCACACGCGATTATATACATACTTCTTTGGCTTCCTCGACATCCACTCATCACGTCACTCACACATACCAACAATAATTACTCTGCACTAACACTTCAGTCATATTTAGCAAAATAAATTGGAACTACCCTTTAGGTACTGATTATAATGCAACTTCAGATTTTCCTGTATGTAAATGGGCCTCTACCGTCTCGGTCACAAGAGGCTCATCAACATCCATAGGTTCTGGTGGATCCAGATCAGGACAGATAGAAGCACTACTAACAATGTCCTCTTGTAATTCTTCTGATGCACCAGGTGTTTCAACTTGTAATGAATCTGCATTGATATCACCTCTGTCCTCTTTTCTACTATTTCCATCTTTAAATTTTTCTTTATCATTAATTTCTACTGCTCTAAGTTTATCCTCACTATTCTCTGTTTCAAATACTATCACAGGCAATTCATTATCTGTATTTTCTTCCGGGTTAACGGCTATATTTCCAACAACTGTTTCATCAATTGAAATGAGATCATCTTTAAGATTAATGCAAGTATCGCTAGGAGAAAGTGCGTCTACTTGAGTAGAGGGCGTGTCCACATCTTCGCAGGGTATCTCAATCTCTACAGCAAGTGTAGTGTGTTCTGCCTTCTTATTTTCGCCACTTTCGTTATCTGAGGACGCAAGAAGATTATCTTCAACGGATTTAGAACATTCCACAGTCATGTCATTTGCAGGGTTCATGTCAGCATCTTCCAAAACAAGTTCAATTTCATTACTTTGAAGGTCAGTTTTGTTATTTAACTGAACATCTAGTTTTTTAGATGGCACACTATTCATTTTATCAGCTTCACTCTCTGAATAGCTCGAATTTTCGATACTAATTACGTCACTTAGTTCTTTACTGTCATTGTCAGAGTCCAGTGAGTCTGAAATAGCTATTAGACTATCAGAATCTGAAGATTCCTGTGTGGATGTATCTTCATTACCTTTATGCAACTTTTGCAACAAGTGAAGCTCATCTACATCTGACTCTAAATCTAAATCTTTACTATTTTCACTACTTACTGAAAATGTTTCAGCATTCTGAATGTCCTTGTCTGTGGTTTTACTTGAAACCAAAGTTTCAGTGTCTTCTTTATCACCTTTAACTTCTGTTCCTTTAGTAGTATCCTCTGTTGGACTAGTGTTGGGTTCTTCTAACGGTTGGTTCTCTTTTCCTTCACTAGGGCCTTTGGATATCTCCTCTATTAACCGCTTCAATCTTTCCTTTCTTTTACCTTTGTTCTCTAAAGAAACACTATCATCATCATCATTAGCATATTCATCTTCACTTTCAACTGGTGACTCTTCAGCTTCCTTATCTCCAATTTCTTCAGCTTCCAATTTCATTTGGTTCTGTCGGTCAGCATACCTGGAATGCGCAAACCATTTTTATTATTATGACCATTTTAAACATGATCTTACCAATATTATAAATGCGAAAGTTTGTAAGATTGTGTGTATGTTTGTGTGAACAGGTGTAGAATATTATCTGTAATAACACATTGGCTACTTTTCTGCCACGGGAGCGTAAAGAAAACTAGTTTTGTATAAGAATATCTTGAAGCTTTTATGGCATCGTTGTACGAAATGAAGGCATACAAAAAATTATAAAATTATTATACATATTCAAAAACTTGAGCCATTTTAAACACCTTTTTAGAAAAGTAATATTTATACAAATTAAATAAAATCGCACATACTTATTAAATATTTCAGTCTCTTTATTGGATGCGAGCTTTCTGTTCACTTCAAGTTGATGCCTTAGCTGCTCATTATTTTCTGCTGGGTCTCCTACATCTAACGTAAGTCTTGAAGCTGCTAGCCGCCATTCATTCTCTTGTCTACGCCTTTGTAGTTTCTTACCACATCTTGTGAACAAGTCTCGAGCTGAAAAGTAAAGTAAACGTCATGTCGTGAGTGTATTTACAAACATACAAGTTTACATACACATGACACCCAGACTCGGAACAACAATCTATAAATCACACGAAGAATTGTTCCGTGCGGAAATCGAACCCGCGACACGTTGCGCGGCAGCCCGTTGCCCAACCACCGCACCAACCGTGCAGTTGTTGATATGATACTGAAAATTATTGGCTATGTGCGCGACGGTGGCGACGCGTAGCGTTTACAACATTTGCGGAAGCTGTCAAATATAATTATTTGACAATGTAAATATTATTATTTTCTTTGAAAATATAAATAAAACCAAAGATTAAAATAGTATTGTTGACATTATTTTTTTTTTTTTATATATATATATTTTTCTGCAATCTGTTTCTAACGAACATTCAGCACTTGGTGAAGAGTTTAATTTAATTTGTCTTGTAGGGTCACCAGTCCTGCGACGTGGGCCCTTTAGAATTCATCCCTTACAGGTCTCTAGGGGCTTTTCGTTTTAGCCTTTTGAATGTTGTGTTAATATTCATCAAGTGCATTGCTAGAATGTTTGGATGGTTGTTGAGCCTTTTTCTGTAGGATATCATTGACTGTTTTATCTCTTCTTGAACCGTTCTGATTTTAAGGTCATGGTGTAATTGTTGGTTAGTTATAAACCAAGGAGCATTAGTAATTATCCTCAGCATTTTGGACTGGAACCTCTGGAGTATTTCTATATTAGAATTTGAGGCAGTGCCCCAGAGTTGGATTCCGTAGGTCCAGATCGGTTTTAGGATACTCTTGTATAACAGTAGTTTGTTTTCGAGTGACAGCTGCGATTTGCCGCTGAGCATTATTTAAGTGCAATTTATTCAATAGTTTTACTGCAAAATGAATATAATAATAAAAACCGGGTTTGAAACTATTACACATAATATTAGTTTCCAACCACAAACTGAGACAAAAGGCATTAAATTAGTATTAGCCGAGCATGATGTAAGAAATGTGGAAGAACTGCGACATAACGGCCAGAGAGCTACTTAAAACGAGCCCACGTAATTCGTTAGACATCTGTGACACTAACACAATACAAAACCAGTTTAAACGTAAATAATGTTAAATGTTTATGTGATGCCAGAATGCTATTACATGTAAGTCATTTCCAATTTACTTATTGTAATCTTCTTATCCTTTGTCATGGCCCATTTCTTTGCTTTGATTTTGTACTGCACTCAACACATTTGACAGCTGATCATCCGCATTTGTTTCCAATTTCCGCCGTGTTGTGCGCTGCGGTCGTTATCTGTCCGCCACTACTCGCTTTGCACATAGCCAATAACAAGAACAATATTAAATTTGTCCTCCACAGTCTGTGTCCAACTTGTATCTTACATTTTTTATTGCGATTGTGATAAGATTTTAATTAACTAGTTTGAGTCAACTTAAGGTTCTTAACTGATATCATCAGTATTTAAAAAAAATATATAAAAAAGTCAGTTTAATAAACATATGTCCAAATATTCAAACGCTGCTCAATTTTATTTAACTCGTCGAGTACCGGTTTTGTAGACACAATTATAGAACAATAGGTTGCGGTCACCGGTGACCGCTTGGTGTTTAACAGTTTAAGCTTAAGTATAGTTGTCTGTCTCTACAAATTCTTTGTAAAATGAGAGATGGCACAATATTTAAGTACTACTTTAAATTGAGTACCTTTTCAGTTTCCGAGCGATAGTAACTAAGACAATATTTGTTGTAACTAGTCCCATATCCCATAGTAAAAATAAAAGAAACTAAACAACATAACATTACATCACGCCTTTTTATCCCCGAAGGGGTAGGCAGACGTGCACATTACAGCACTTAAGGCCACTGTTCAATGTAACACCCACTTTTCAATATTTATGTTATGAGTCCCATGTAATAGAGGGTGGAGCCTATTGCCATATACCAGGCACATTTTTAGACTCTGTGCTACTACTGAAATTTTTAAAAACCCAGTAATACTTTGTCCAACTCGGGAATCGAACCTGAGTCCCCTTGCCACACTTGTCGGCACGAGTTTTGAGTCGCACTTGCGACCACACGGCCAACAAGGCAGTCAAATAACAACAAAATTAATATAATATAAATTATAAATAGTAAATATCCTTACCCTCTTCCATAATTTGTGCCTCATTCCAACACAATTTGTCTTCATCATTAGCCTCTCTAACACATCGGAGCACATCGTGGAAATCTGGGAACGGCAGTGGGGTGCCAATAGGTACCTTTTTGTTGACCCACTTTTCAAGTCGTTTTGCCGGACCAGCCGGTTGCCCTGGTCGCGATTCCACTGTAATACGTGGTTCAGAAGGCATTTTTGTATTTGTTAATTGACAGAATTTCGCGTAAACTCGTACCATTCTTTCTTTATACCTAGAAATAGAATAATTATTACATTAATTTATTATTATTTTTAAGTCATTGACAATTTTAGACAACAAAAACCAATTTTCGTGGTTACATTGATGCTGCAGATCCTTCAACAGATCTACAACGTAGAACAAATGTACATCATTACCTCAATAAACGAAGAAATCGGATGGATAGGTTTCTTTCCAAAATATTCAAAACAAGACATTCTACAACAGTACACTTGGCCTAGTTTTATAAATGTACAGATAATTTGATAGGCTGTTATGTTTATTCACACTTTACAATCACTCAATTAACTGTTTGAACAATAATAATTGTACAGAACCTACTAACAAGTAATAAATAATTTACGGCGATATAAAATACCTTTCAGTCAATAAATAAACTGAGTCGTCTTCATCATCAAAGTCGACCTCATGTTCTTCCAATTTCTGTATAGCTCTGTGTAGTTTCTTTATAGTCTTCTCTAGTTTACGTATTTGCCTTTGACGTTTTGAATCAAACTCATTTTCATTTCCAAACTGAAACTGATCCGACTCTGGAAAAAACAAAATGGCAATTAACAATATAATTATGTTATTACTCTTTTGAAACAAAAATCTAGTGTTTGTTTGTCAAGTTTTACTAAAAAGACTTTATAAACTCCATAAGACTCTATAAATACCAATGTGAAAGTTTCAAGTAAAAGTAAAAAAAATACTTAATACTACTACCCAATCAGAATGGCTCAAAAAACAACATGAAAAATAGAAGGCTTTCGGCAATTAAATTAAGTCACATTTTACAAATATAACAATACACAACATAGTTACCTTCAGGTACTGTCTCCAAATTCACTACTTGTGGTTGTGATTTAGTTCTTTTTCTCTGCATATTAAGTTCATCAACAATATCTTTTATAAACAAATACATCTTTTCAGGGCTAGCTTTCATTGCAACTATTTTACTTTTAACCATGTCAATGAACTCCTCAGATTCTGTGTATTCTTTTGGGACTTGTCTGTAATAACCTTTGATTTTCTTTTCTACTATTTTATTCATATCTTCAGAATTTTCTAACTGAAAACAGACATCAATAAAGTTCTGGTACACAGAATGAAATTCACCCTGGACACTAGTACTAGGCACTTCAACTGCTTTTTCTCTTGATCCTGAGTCATTTGATACTTTGGAAGTACCATCTCTTTTACTAGATTCTGCCTGTTCAGTCACAACACTAACTTCAGGAATATCATTATTGTCATCTTTATCTGTACTCTTTTTATTTAATTCAAGACCTTCCCCAGTAGGTATTTCAATTTCAATTTCTAGTGTTTTTCTACTCTCTTCATCTTCTTTAGAATACTCTAATCTCTTTCTACTGTTGGGAGATTTTGGAATAGTAGATTCTTCTTCACTCCCACTCTGAGATCCATTCTTATTTGCTACTGCTTTGATAGGACTGTCATCAATGGTGATGGCTAGTTCAGTACCAATTTCACAAGTCCTTTTATTTGTCATTGGTTTAATGGGACTATCTTCTATTGTTATTTCAATCATCTTAGGACCTTCTGGTTCTTTGTTATTCTCTTCTTCTAAAGTAGAAGTTTCTTGTTCCTCTGGTCTTAAATACCATGCAGGGCCAGGGGCAGCTGGTTCATTGACAGAGTTTTCATCATCATCTAATTCAACTGTAGGGACTACATTGATTGGTTTTGTGTTTGTAATATTTTTATTAAGTTTCATATAAATAACTGGTTTATGAGCAGGCTTAGGAGTTCTTTTTACAGTTATACTAGGTGGTAATTTAATTGGATTAGTTGCTTGATTTATATTATTCAAAACTGCAGGGGCAATATTTGCAATTTTGATTGGATTTTGTCTAATAAAAGTCGCTTTGTTGGCTGGAGCGTTTTGAATTTTAACAGATTTAGGTAAATTATAAAGTGGTTTCGAAATCACTGCTTGTATGGGTTTACCATTGAGTTTATTTTTGTTTGCAAATGGATTGGTTAACAAATTTGAAATTCTAGTCACAGTTGTTTTTTTCTTCGCTAAAGGGGTAGCTGGTTTTAATATTCCAGGTGATTTTGATGTTACCAATTCTTTTGGAGAAATTACTTTTTGTGGCGCTGGTAATCTTTTCAGTGACGTTGCTTTGGCAATAGTTACTCCTTCTGTCGCAGATAAGACTTTTAAAATAGGTTCATTCTTTTTTGAGGGCCCAGATTTTCCAGGTGCTCCAAGTACTTTTAATTTGGTACTAGTAGGCTTTATTGTGACCTCATTATACTTGTACCTTGGTATGCACACCATTGCATCTGGTTTGGGTTTACTCTGCAACAAAATTTATTATTTCATCAAAACACCCATGGTGTACTTTAACTTGCTATGAGCACATGAACGCCCTTAAACATGTAAGTAAATTAGTCAGAAAGCATGGTTAATACCTTTTTGGGAGCCGGTTCAGTGTCATCGTCCGAAGATCCTAATTCTATAACATCTTCACTTGCCATTATGCTTCAGTTATACATCCAACGAGGTTTCAACATTCAACATACGAAAACATAACATCAAGATAGAAATTTGCCCATTACACTAAAATAATAGTTCAAAAGTGGTTTACAGTTCAAATAATAAATTGTCTTTCAGCTAGACCCAACACATCAGAATGAAAACGAAAAACATTTGACATAATTTTTGGGGGCTGCCATCATTGACGCTTGCTTGAAGCATTATGCAGCAATAGTTGCCATATCTAAATTATATTTTCTCAAGCTAAAATTCTTAAAACCTAAATACTCTACAATACCTAATTTTTCAATTAAATAGGTACTATTCAGTTTTCTATTCATGAACACACTAATTTTCAACAACGACCACCCATTGTGTGTGGTTAAAATTCAATTTATTTTTGATTTTAAAGAAAATATAATATATAATATTTTTCTTTTACAGTCGAAAAAAAAGACTTAAAATTTAATAAAACTCTTTTCTAGTCCAAATTACGATAGCTGATTTTTAACCACCTTGTTGGTATCCACGTTTACTGTCAGTGTCACAATAATTACTGGGTTTACTGGTTGGTGATTGGTCCATTTGTCTTCATATTTTTTTCTTTTTGTTAGGTTTGCCAATAAAATAAAAGAGCCGATTATTTTATTTACAAATTGCAATCTTCCTAAATTGAAGTTTCGTACAAAAATTTAAGCTGTCAAAATAGATCGTGGTTTTATTTCTAATAATTTCTATTTTATCGATTAGTTAGGACAATGATTAAACTTTTTTCATTAAAACAACAAAAGAAAGATGAGGAAGGCTCAGCAAGAGCAGGAGGTTCACAGAAAAAAGCGTCAGCCGCTCAGTTGCGGATTACAAAAGGTAAAGTTCAGAAATTTTAACAAATATACGCGTTGTGTACTCATTGTTGGTATAATAATTTTGTGAGGATTTCCTACGCAAAATCTCTAAATAACCTACTTACAGTTAGCTGTACGTTGATGTTAGGGGGTAGATTCTTATATGTTAACATCTAATAATTTTCTAATTGCTTCCTCCAGACAGTCTAACTGTGCTGGATGACTGAATTGTTTACAGTATTATTGGCCTAATAACTGTTTTTTCCCTTCCAGATTTGAATGAATTGAATTTGCCCAAGACATGCAATACAGAGTTTCCAGACCCAGATGATTTACTTAATTTCAAACTAATCATATGCCCTGATGAAGGATTTTATAGAGGAGGGAGATTCATATTTAGTTTTAAGGTAATGTCGCCTTGCATGAAACGGGTTTACTGTGTCAAATGATATGAAAATTTCAAACCCATGTTAGGCAAAATAGAGCATTGTAAGCTAACATGTTTTATAGTTGTTTTGTGACCTATAAACTAGGAGACAGGCTATAATGCTTGTATTTAGGTAGGCTTCTTTAAGATCTATGAATCACAAGTATTATTCATAACATTTACATTAGTTGAAACTGCTTAAGACACAAATTTGTCACCCAAGAGTATTGTTATGTTCTTGTCCTATTTGTTTTGTGGTATTTAGTTATTGTTCTTCAATAAGAATAACACGATGATTGACATTAAAACCTTTTTTTATGCAAAGACCAACAAAAATGTCTTTTAGAAAACCTTAGGCACCTACAATTCATGTTTTATCTATCAACTACTGAGACTTCCAGGAACATAATGAAGTTTTCCTAATATGTTAGAAGTATAATTATTGTATTGTGTATGTTATCCTGCTATATATGTTGAATTGGTTATGTATGTATATGTTTTGAATTGGTGTTACAGGTAGGACCAAACTATCCTCATGAGCCTCCAAAAGTGAAGTGTGAAACAGCAGTATACCATCCGAACATAGATTTGGAGGGCAATGTGTGTTTGAACATCTTAAGAGAAGACTGGAAACCTGTGCTTACTGTCAACTCTATAGTTTATGGACTCCAGTATTTATTCTTGGTATGTTTGTGTTAATTATGTCTAAAATATAATACAATTAGCTGGTATCAACAGCCTCAATCTCTTATAAGTGCTGTTTTAAGAGGCAAAATAGAAAACACATTGTAATTGGCACAGATCTACATTCCGGCAGACCAAGGGTAAAATGTATATGTAAGGCAGAAGATACTCTTCTGCTAGAGCTTCTGCTAGATATAGCCTACCCCTAGTGATACTAAAAATGCACTCACATTGTGTTGTGAAAGAAATACAAACAAAAAAACTCACATTTATAATATTAGAAAAGACAACTTTCTGTAAATAAATTACCTACTAATTAATACTTTGCACAATTTGTAAACTGGACCTTCTTGGTGTAAAAACGTAGCCTGTTAGCTAGAGCCTCTTAAATAGTTACTAATCTTCAGGCATAAAGACCATGACTACTTACTATAAAGTTTAAACATGTGCCATTTGCAATTTTGTGTTTTGATGTGATAGTATGTCAATTACACACACTTTCATAGACAAATACATATCCACAATGTTTAACTTAGCTATACATAGAATATCTAGTATAGTACTAGTAAGGCAACAATACCATAGCATGGTATAACTACATATAAAACACTACATAGTATAAAACAAAGTCGCTATCCACTGTCTGTCTGTCCCTATGTTTGCTTAGATCTTTAGAATTACGCAACGGATTTTGATGCGGTTTTTTTTAATAGATAGAGTGATTCTTAAGGAAGGTTTATATGTATAATACATGCATATTGCACCCATGCGAAGCCGGAGTGGGTCGCTTGTAACATAATATAAAGAATATTGCAAAAATCCTGACATATTTTTTTTTAAGGATTTTATTCCATAGAATAGAGTTACAAACTATGTATGGTATTTTTTGGTAACTGGTTGTACCTACTTAATGAACTTCTTTCAGCTTTAGTATGATTTGTGTTTAAATTAAAAACATGATTATACAATAATTTGGACACTGATAAAAGACAATGACTAATCATTTCGAGAACTGATAAGTTCTCAGTGGCACTCTAAAAGCTATTAATGTAAACTGATGTTATGCATTGATGCCCAGCATTTAAATTAAAGGGGAAATTACCTTGTTTTCTTTATTATATGGTGAAATAAAAATAAGTACCTATTTGTGTAACTATACCAGTATAGTTCTGATTCTGTATCAGCAATTTTTATCATAAATATTGTATCTTACTAATATTATAAATGCATAAGTTTATGTATGTATGCATATTTGTTACTCAAATACGTCAAAACGTTGAACGGATCGCGATTAAATTTGGAACAGGGATAGATTATGGCCTGATGCAGCTTTATCTGCTACTGCCCTGTCTCTGTGAAATTTTAATTCGTAGTTCGCTTTTCGTGGTTAGTAGGTGTGAAGATAAATTTATTCTACGCTATTGTTGTCTGTATATAGGATAGAAAACAAAATCGAATAAATACAAACAGTCTACAAAGCTTGTCGTGGTGGCCCGCAGGTTTAAGACGCACTTCTCATGCATGAGGGTGCGGGTTCGAAACCTACCAACGGCAAGTACCAATGTGACTTTTTCCGAGTTATATGTACTTTCTAAGATTATTTAGACACCACTGACAAACGGTGAAGGAAAACATCGTGAGGAAACCTGGGCTTATAATTTCTAATTATAAGTTTGTAATCGCCAACCCGCATTGAGCAAACCTTCTCCGTGTGAGAAGAGGCTTTGCTCAGCAGTAGGCATTTATAGGCTGTTGATGATGATGATAATGATGACAAAGCTTGAAAGGTTTTCATCTGAACTGTTTTTTATTGGGAACAGGGGCCCATCCGATGAATTTGCAACGGGTCCCGAACTGTATAGTATAGTTATGCGGAGTTACGCCATTGCTTATAACACCCCATTGACCCTCTGCTTTCCCATACTTCGCATGTATGACACATAGTTGACTAATAAATGAATGTTTTGCTTCATTCCTTAGATTATTATAGTTAACATACAAACCATAACATCACGTTTATTGTTTCGTAAGGATGTGCAGAGTATTGTATTGAAAAGTGCAGCTATACGCATTCTATGAATTGTTATTAGCTCTAGTTCAACTTTCCTAACAATGTCGACGATTTTATAATAGAAAAAGACCATAATGCTGTTCAGGTAGAATTGTGGGATTTTCTATCCCATGGCGGTAGTACCGACCGCGACATTAAAAACACAATTCATGGTCGTGAATTTCATTTTTTTTTTCTTTTTTGTCTAAGTTAGCGATCGGTGCCTATCGAGTCGAGAGACCTCAAATTCGGTGAACTTTCGAATATTGTTATGTAGGTACTTGTGTATTATAACTTGAATAATGGTTTTTTTGCAGGAACCAAATCCCGAGGACCCTCTAAACAAGGAGGCTGCGGACGAGCTGCAAAGTAACAGGAGGTTGTTCGAGCAACACGTGCAGAGAGCGATGCGAGGCGGGTACGTCGGCTCTTCCTACTTCGAGAGATGCCTCAAATGAAATCGCAACACAACTGTAAATTAATGCTACCAACCCTATATAAATAAAACAATCTCACTTTAAATTAAAGTATTTGATTATTTATTCAACAAAAACAAAAAGTGGGGATTGACGTATTTACAATGTCAATATCATTTATTTGTATTTGAAAGAGTTCAGAATCCTATATTTTTATACACTATTAATTTAACAAATATTTTCTTTTTATTATATTCATGCGGATGTGCCTGTTAACGGCTAAATCTCGTAGAATTTTAAATTATAAACCACTAAATTAATTCGATTTTTTTATTTTAGTTTGTAAGTTTGCGTGTAGATGGCTCTTATTAGATTCTTCTTTAACACACACGTAGATGGCGTCACTTGATGGTTTCTGATAATAATGACTCCCAAAAATATACTATCAACCCTTTAGGATGACAATGCAACTAACTCCATGCTCCTTGCATTAACTATGGACATCCCATAATATATTCTCTGATTGACAAAACCAGTAATGTACTACTCCATTTTACTATGTGTGGACCTTACGTATGCTACATAAGACACAAATTAGCTTGTACAGGTGGCAATAAGGTTCGACAACCCACGTTTACTATGAGACAGGCGAGTGAATGGGTCGTGAGACGAGGTTATAGTTGGTTCGAAGCGCCAACACAGGGCAACGGCGCCGTGGCAGAGTGGCGCGAAGTGAGCCGCGATCAAGGGCCGGCCGCGTGAGTCAGTCGCGCCGAGTGAGCACCGTGAGCAGCGCCCGAGCGCCAGTCGCCAGTGTTACTCTGAACGCCGAGCCACTCGCGCACACCCGTCACTCAGTACGCTTTCTCCACACGGCAGCGTGCTCAAGGCAGAGCTGTTTCGACACGGCACTCGGTTGCGAAAGTGTGCGCGATGATATACAAGTGAGAGCCGACATCGGACGCCAGGGTAACGCTCATCGCACACGGTGAGCCAGTTTGTTCGACGAGAGACATTCGAAACTCGCCAGCTGTGAGGGACGGGGGGCGCGCGACGCCGTCGGGTCGTACACGCGGGACCAACCTTTAACACATACTTACTTACTCCGAGAGAAGCAACGGAAACCAATTTTTAATGTGTCAAGTCAGTATAGCTTATTGCTGCTACGTCAGATCGCTGAACGCCTCGAGCAAGAACTACAAGGTTATGCAAATGAGTTCTGAACGCTTCTATACCAGGAATAATCAAAAGACCATTCATAACTTCAATAAACTTTAACGTTTACGTTGTACCTTACGGTGTATAAGTGCTTATCTATCGTTTCTCTACCTTAAATTATCTTTCGGTGTCGCGTTCGCTAATTGCTAATTACTGTGGAAGTCGAGTGATAAGGAGTGTTGACTGAACGAGCATTCGGCGTGCGGAAAACAGAGCTGTTGTATCCAGCGACGACAATGGCGGCCCAGCAGGAGGAGAGCCTGCTCTCGCGATGCGAAATCCCCATCATCGACCTGGCCCATATAGGTAAGCACCTGCACCCTACTACATGCAACCTTCACGGCAGCGCCGCCTGCGCCGCTCTCATCAGCGAAAGTCCTGCATTGAACACTACATATATACACCTTACTTTACATTCACTTGGCAAAATTTTCGGTTAGTGCCTGTCGGTATTGCGTAATTTTAGTAATCAGTTAAGTATACCTACCTATTTAATTTAAATTTCAATGAGATCGCAGATAGATTTTTTTTGTCAAAACTGCTTATACAATGTCGAGGCAAGTAACATTTGTTAGCGTTCAAGTAAAACGCGTCTACCTACGACCTTCCCAGCTTTATTTGAATTTTTATAATAAAGAATGTTAAGCCAAATAAATACAAATCCATCAAGTTGACTACCTGCCGACCCTTCGGTATAATAAGGGGGACCCTCCCGGTGTCTCGCGTGCAACCCGACAGTCGACCGACAGCTGTGCACCGATGGTTTATTTGTTGTCATTAAACAATCTCGGCATCCCGCTCTCGGGTTCAAAGACCGGACACCCAGATCTGAACCGTCCATCGCAGTTCATCCGCCTAATTCCAAGATAAATTAAAGTTTCATCGTTAATTTATATTATCCTAATGGTTCAAGTAAACTGTGGACGTCTAAAGAGGGCACTACCTCTTATGAGGGCTATAAATGTTTATTGTAAACAAAGGAGCTGCTTTGAAGCGAAGCGATGAGTAACTGGGATATGCATGCGTTTACTTACGTGTCCTATATTGGATCAGTTTATATTCAGCACGTGTTAAATGAATCAACAGGAGAAAACTAATCCGAAGGGAAATAGAAACTTATTCATACCCCAATAATATCAATTTCTTTGTAATAAACTAGAAATTACCAATTACGTGTAAACTAGATAATGTTGATTATGTCATTAATAATACGCAATAAGTGCACTTTCAAGATAGCAGACAATATGCATGCACTTAGCGATCTTATAATACACAAACGTAGGTATTACTAGGTATGTTATGAAGGCGATTCTAATACAAAATTCCCGTTTAAAGAACTGTTATGTTACACTAACTCGGTATAAAAACTTAAGTAACAGTTGGAAGTATGTAAGGAATTCTAGTTATTACTCTTCAACGTCAATACTTATGTCAGAAAGTAATTCTAAGCGAAGGAGTCGTAAAAAGCATCCTTTGCAATGTGAGGGCAATGGCCGATGGGCCCTTTGTAACTCCAGCCGAGCGCAGGCTCAGCGATATCAATGCGTTTGCCGACGCACCACGCCTTGCACTCGCGTGTCAGCACGCATCTAAACATATCTACAATACCAGGACATAGTTTTACTCATAATAAAAACTTTACATTTACAATAAAGATTGAGTCTAATCGTCTCTTTAAGTTTTCTGGATAATGGCCATGATTCACTGTCCATGACTCCATGGTGCAGTGACGCAGCTCAGTTATTGTTCAAATATCAACATTGAATTTCCAGATTCTTTCGGGTTTCAGTCATATCGATAACTGCGGTGGTGCAACGTCACATCCGCAAATTACTTGATACCTATTTACGTAGTTAGTTATTGTTTAATTTACAATAATTAAATAGGTATGTCGAAAGAATTGGTTTCATTAAACTATTTACTATTCATTCTGAGCTGTAATTAAACTCTGAATTAAACAAAACGATTGTTTAATGCTGAAACTGATTAAGATGAAGATAATTACTTGGTAGCTAATAATAGATCTATGTATGTTGAAAGTTTTCTAATAAGAATTTACAAATACTGAAGAGAAAAATAACATGGGTAGGTAGTAGGTACCTTCTATGAACAAAGACAGTCGATCAAGTTACACCCAAGTGGCTTGTCACTGAAGGACAACAACGGATAAGATAAATAAACCAAAGCCGTGTTGCAAAATAATAATCAAAAACAACCACATGATTAGATTAGATATATCTTGTTTTTAAAATCCAAAGTTCTACGTAGGCACTGCTTTACTTATTTTGAAATGTTACGTATGTACCTAGTACATAAGTAATCTCGTTAGTGATACAAGTCAGTTTTATCGAATGCTTTATTTCGGTGCTGTAGATAGCTAATCGACTTCCACAACTTGAAATGTACCAAGTTTTTAAGCACACCTTTCAAATGACAGACGATATTCTCAAATAAAAACATGACATGCACTAGACAGCCAGAACACGTCCAAAATAAGTTTATCAAGAGATCGACTGCCTCCATAAAATAAAATAAACGAAGTGAACCAGCTTTCTAACTAATTACCCGGTGATTCGATAAAAACAAATAAACACATTTCCCTTTGTTTTTATATCAGATAACAAAACGCGATTAGATTTACCGTTACAAGCTCATAAAACCGTCACCGAGGTAGGTTATGTACACATAATACATTATACATGTATTTGCATAGTATTCAAAGCGCAGTGTTAATTGGTGTGTCACATTTGATCCTGGCTTTCGACCAGTGACCCAGATACGCGACCATTCATCACTCGAACGTTTGACAGACAAAAAATATGAGTTTATTTCTCTCGAGATGCTCTCGAAATGAGTGTGTCGAGACAGAAATGACTAATCAACTGTTTTGGAATTGCATTTTTAAAAACCACTTATGATTTTAGCCGTAAATCTGTGTTATGAATATGAAGAGCTTTTGAATTCCAGAATTCTGTCAGTTAGGCATCTAGGTTTTTTCGTCAGCCATTTTGGTGAACCCTACTTTCGTAGTGAATAATCAATCATGAATACTATAGGTAGGTCCTATGTACTTCCATAATAAACACATCATGGTACAATAAAGCATGCTTCTATGAAAACTTGTGGAATAGATATAAATAATAATTGTAATCGTCTTGATGAATAAAAGATTGTCGTATCCATAAGTAACGACAACCATTAACTAGTTAATAATTGGTTAATAATATCACTTTACCTATTAACTTTAATTACCACGTGCATTGAACACGGTGAAACATGTGACCGGTGTAACATAGGTAGGTATTTTAAAATGTAGGTATAGCTCACGTACAAAAACATCAGACAGATCATTATACAGTTGAAATGTTGCATGTATAATGTATTGTGTAAAAGATAATTTAACAGTCTAGCTGTCTGGACAGTATACCTAAATAGACCGAGTCTAATTGCTAATTTCCCCCATTATGTGAACCGCGTTAGTGATGATGTCTCACGCCGTTTCCTAGACGCCAGTTGCGTCACGCCACGCGTTTTACAACCAACTGAGTATTTTTATCACTCTAAATTGCACGTCAATACAGCTATTTTCGTACAACATCGTTAACTCCGCTGAAAGTGAGTAATCCCGTAGAAATTGAGCCGTTAGAAGCTAGAGCGTAATTAAATGTTAAGACTTTAATGTATTGCATAGTGATAGGTGCAAAGCATTCGTGCGTTCAACATGCAATTCATAATAGCGTGCGTTTAAGGTGTCAAGACCACATTAATGATTGACTGACGTGGACATATTGTGAGCGAGATGGCATCTATTCGACAGCTGCAGGATGCTGTGATGCGATTTGCGCACGAAGCGTCTGCGCAGCTCAATATCCTGCGCAGGGCAACGCC